CACACACACACACACACACACACACACACACACACACACACACACACACACACACACACACCCCTCCGCTCCACCCTGTTTCTTTCACACAGCCACACCCCAACCCCTGGATACAGCAGCCTCCTTAATGCTGCACCAACTTTATGGTGAAATCCTCCACCTAGTCGATTACAAATACCACTTCTCCAAGAAAATATAAAAACACTGAGTGAGGGTGGGTGCATAACTCAAGAACGAGATCCAAACTGACATTTTAGCTACAGGCTAGACCTTGTTCATGAGTAATGTTCCCTGTGTTTTCACTTAACGGCTGCAAATAAAGTTGTGCGCGGCTGAGTAATAGGCAGTTGGCCTGTAAGATATTTGGTATAACCTCCCCTCGTTTGCTGGCTCGTGTGCTTGTGTGTGCGCGTGCAGATATGAGTGATGCGTGTGGACCAATGTTCTGTCTTCCCTGCAGCAGTGACGGCTCACTGGGGGGTTGGGAAGACGGGATTAAACACAGAGGAGTGTCTGTCTCGCTGAGTTATAGCACTCATAACACAAACACACACAAGGACGGCACAGACACACATGGGCGGCGAGCAGAGACGCCAAACACACGTACAATCAAATTTGTACCCCCCAAAAAACACTTGACGAGCAGAAATACATGTCACGAAACATGATGTGACATGTATCTATATGTTACACAGTGACAACCGAACAGGGCTCAGGATGGCAAGAAACATATAAGAAGATTGTGTTTTTCATGGGCAAACCCCATCAACTCTACTGCTCAATCCATGAATGTATTTCCTTTACAAATGTTGGGCTATTTTAAGAATAACAAACGGGATTTCCAATGATATAAGGTTAGGCTTATCATTATAACAAATTTGGAGACCATTTAAACAATTTAAGTTGCTTCCCGCCTCCTCTATCTGTCTCTAGGGCTGCCACAAATGATTATTTTTATAGTCGATTAATCACGATAATTTTTTTGATTAGCTGACTAATCAGATCATACGTTAACTGAATTTAAAACTTACAGCTTAGCGCGCCAGAATGCAGCTGCTATTATATAACCATCGTTAGATTTTAGCTATATGCTAACTAAAAATAATTGCAGTAGAAGGCAAGTTCTGCCTTGCAGAATTTACATTGCACAGGTTTCTCTTTCACGTTCTTAAAATGATCCCACATTTTTGAGCTCCTTTGTCCGGTAGCCATGATACCAGAGCCTGTCTGTATAATGTCTTGTGAAGTCTATGGCCTACCCCAGTTAATACAACTGTGCATGTGTGTCAAGGACAGAAAGGCAGATGTGGCAGTGGAAGGTGTCAAAGCAGTTTGGAGAGAAAAACAAAGTAAAGAACAAAAACAAACAAACAAAAAAGACTAATCAATTATTGAATTATTCATCGACTATTTTAATAATCGATTAGTAGTCCACTAATCGTGGCAGCCCTAATCCAAGCTGGCAAAATTTATTCTTTGTGTGTCTTCCTCTGGCTTCATAAAATAGCTGCAGTTCCTCCGCCATGCCACTTACGAATTTTACGGAAGTTTACGAAATTTTCGTTAAATTACGGAAGGACCAGGAATGGAGTTTGTCAAAACAACACACAACGGCTACTGAAGCTGTAAAATCGCCATCAACCTCTATCCAAGCTGGTTCCGTTTATTCTTTATTCTTTTCTCTGGCTTCATAAAATAATTGCGGTCACCCTGCTTACAAAGTTTACGAAATTTACCAAGCGTTAAAACAAAAAACTCTTGGCAAACACAAAGTTTGGCGCGGTGCATCTTAGGGCATCGCCAGCTGAAAGAAGGCATCGAAAATTAAGACTCCTCTAGGTAAATATCTGTTCATGTGGCTCTCACACTACAGAGGTTAGGGATCATGCACCTGACAAATATGGTAAATGGACTCAACGATCCATTTACCATTACTAGGGATGGGTACCTTTGACATTTGAATCGATTCGGTGTCAATATCCAGTACCTGGGAATCGGTACAGGTACTTAACAGTACCAATTTTCGGTTGTTTTTTTAATAATAATTTATTTTATTTAACATATTTCTCAGTATATAAAATTAACAAATATCAAGACAACATCCAACTCTATGTATTGTAACATCAATTGTGTTACTTACTGTATTTCTTTAGTGAAAACTCTTGAAAACAACAAGACTGTTTTGTCTTACTGCACAAATTAAAATCCAGCTCCACGTGTTTCTATTGATGTCATTTCCCAGCTAGAAAAAATGTGTGATGGAGGTCCATGGAAGGCAAATAAGTTTAAATCAAATAAGCAAGAGAGGATAGAGTTAAAACAAATAAAAGGTATTCAAGCTACATTTTGAGCATCCAAAATGCGCCCAAAGCTTTAAGCTGGCTGCCTGTGCTCTTTCAGGTCAGATGAGTTCTGACTGTCGGGAAGCGCCTCTGTTGTTTTCCTCTGTCGGTCTCTGTTTAATGGTGGATGAAATAAAGAAAGTGGCAGTACTTTATTTACTTTGAGCAAGTGAACGTTGTGTTCACAAGATAATTAATCCACCAGATAATTCAGAGGCGGTCTGTTCAGCAAGTTTAGAAGCTGCGAAGCTCACTTTCAAGCTACGTTCAGACCGAGCTCTGTCTACTGAACCAGTGGCCGCTGACGTCATTACGCTCTTGCGCGATGCTGTGTTCAGGAAAAGCTAGGAAAACTCACCAGTCTTATGAATCCTTACGCCAATACGGTCGCAATGATGTGTTTAGGTACCGAAACATGATGATGTTGATGTTACGTGAATAGGTTCTCAGTAGTACCGACAGAATTCGGTACTCATCCCTAACCATTACATTTATCCATTTACAATAGTGCCTTATTAAGTCCACTTGGACCCCAAAGCGCTTTACACTTACAGACATTCACCGATTCTCACACACGTTCACACACTGATGGTGGTAAGCTACATTGTAGCCACAGCTGCCCTGGGGCACACTGACAGAGGCGGGGCTGCCAGGCACCGGCACCACCGGACCCTCTGACCACCATCAGTAGGCAAGGTGGGTGAAGTGTCTTGCCCAAGGACACAACGACTGAGACGACTGGACTGGGGATCGAACTGGTGACCTTCTGGTTCAACCCATTCTCACTCCCGAGTCGTCACATATTGACGTTTTTCAAAGGTCCCTTTGCGTCCAATTTTGACGCATCAGGTACCCCCCTTGCGTCATATTTTGACGGGATGGGGCGGAATCTGTTGTCGTAATTTTTCTAAGTGTAGAAAATGCACAAATAGTA